GATGGAGTCCAGCAGCTCCCCAGACTCCATGGTGACCGCCTGAGCAGGGAGTATGGCGACAGGAAGCGAGTATCTCTGGTGAAGGGCAGCGGACAAGTTCGCGTCTGCTGGTGTTGCACGGTCCTGTCTCGTGAGCCTGTCCCTACCTTCCAATGCCTAGAACACAAAACGGCATCCAGCAGCAAACTCCCACTTCCCCAGTGTGCAGTATGACCGCCCACCATGGCCTCATGGTTGCTCAGCTTAGGACGTTGGCTGCACATGACCAACGCACCTGGAGCACCTGAGCAAGCAGTGGGTAGTCCACGAAGAGCGTGCCATCATCACGCGTGGTAGCAAAGCTGCCCAGCAGCACCTTGAACGCCGATGGGAGCTTGGTGGACTCCACTCCAGCCGCCGGGTCCAGCAGCTCCCACAGGAGTCGCAACTGTGACGCAGGCTGGCCCAGCACTTGCAGCACCATGCGCAGGTCCTCCAGCACCTGGGGATGACGAACAGCACCAACAACACGTTGGTGATGGACCGTCGTCTGGCTTGACCTGCCAGTACACAAAGAGTTTACTCCTTCACAGCTAGCACCCACGTTTGCTGATTTGCGGTTGCTATAAAATGTAGGCCCCACCTCGGGAATGAGCTTTTGCATCATGGTCTGCTCCACCAGCTCCTCGGCTGTGCCAGCTGTGCAGCTGTACCTCCACTCCTGGCACAGGTAGGCCAGCATGGCGACCTGCGGCGGCGACTGCCAGGCCAGGTCTTCTGTCAGTGGCCGGACCGGATCCCAGGTTTTGGCCTGGGCTTTGAGCTGCACCCAGGCGACTTGCAGTGCTTCCAGGGGCATTGTGGGGCTCAGGTTGAGTCGGCGGTGGTGCATGATCAGGGAGAAGCCGTTGGTCTGCGGCAACATGCACAGCAAAAAGGTGTTGGGCGCTGCAGTAGCTTTTTTGGGAGGGGTCGTGGCTGGGCTGTGGAGATAAGGCAGTCGGGAAGGAGCTAACGGGTCCGCCCAAAGGCGGCACGGTCCATGGAAGGGCTCTAGCTAGAGTGTTGTGTCCCAGAACTGCAATGCCAATGGCTCACCGGGGTGGCAGCGACATTGGCCCACAGCATCGCCATGGAGCTGCCTGTGACGGCCCAGGCGACCCAGTGGGGGCTGTCCACCAGGAGGACCTTGAGGATGCTGTGGGTGAGACAAGCAAGGTAACCAGGCATGCAAGGTGACAGGCAGCAAGGTAAGGCAAGGGAAACAGTGCCCATATTCAGCGAAGTCCCCTGCGCCTGCTGTGTTGGGGCTGTAAAAAGCAGATGCCTGCCGCCCTGGTGCAGTGGTAAGCGCCTGTCCCCTTAAATGCCTTCTGCCCCTTGCATGCAATGCAATGCACTGTCAGGTGCGTAACAAACACTAACCACGGCCACTCATCCTGCCCATACATGTGAACACGCGACACGTTCAGGGAAAGTAATGTGCTGACATACCGCCGCATGTGCAGCACCACCTTGACATCCAGGGTTGGGCCACGCAGCACACCGTCACCAAACACGGCCGGCCGCGCCATCAGGTAGAAGCTCTGCGCCTCGTCGACCAGCAGGAAGTTCAGACGGTCCCGTGGCAGGCGCCGCATGAAGTCCTGAATGGCGTCAGCCATGGTGCCCGCGGAGTGGTCGCTGGGCACAGGTGTGCTGGCGGCAGCATAGAGCCGCTGGTCGGCTGCACTCCGCTTGAGCTTGACGAGGAGTTCCTTCAGGAAGCCACCGCTGTCGCTGCTGCAGTCGCAGTCCAAGCAGTTCACGTGCAGGAAGTTGGGCTCCGCAAGCTCCACGCCAGCATGCTGCCAGCCGCTGCCGCCGCTGCAGTAGTAGGCGTTGGCCACAGCAGGAAGGACCTCATTAAGCAGGTAGGACTTGCCGCTCTGCACAACAGGCGCACGGTGGGCACAAGATGACAATGGTATGAAAGCAGGGGACGACGGCGTCAGTACTAACAGTAAGAAACTCGAAAAGTAGCGAGCACCTGCCTGCACTCGGGCTACTTAGCCAGGCACGACAGCCCATGACGCGCATGGGCCCCGAGCCCAAACACACACAGGTAACGTCCCCCACCATGTACACTCTGAGCGCAGGAAACCTTGCTTTCCAAGTATTCGCGAAGAACGACGGAACACTCCGTATAGTTTTGGAGTACCTAACCCCATCAGACCGTGTATCTAAGCTCCAAAAGCAGCCACCACGGTGTAGCGGGACTCCGCTGCTGCAGCATATACCCATCAGCACGCGACGTTCAAAAGCCATCTAAGGCGCCTGTTGGGTCATGCTTGAGATCCAACCACGCACGGGGTATCCCACCTTGACCTGACCGTCGACAAACAACGGCAAGATGGGTTTGCCCTTGCCATGCAAGTCCATGGCCAGGCCAAGCCAGTCCTCTAGCTCAGCTTTCTGCTTGCCTTCGGGGTCCAGGAAGAAGCTGCCGCTGCTCACACCCGGACTTGTGGCGCTAGCTGCAGCGCAGCTGGTGTCCATGGGCTCGAAGAAGTACAGGTCCGTGTTCTGCACATCTTGCCGGAGCCGCAGCTTGCAAGCGGGCGGGCCTGTACAAGAGTAGCCCGTCGTGCCCACAAGGTGCAGACACATGAAGTAACCGGCCGCTGTCGTCCAGGTGCTATGCATGCAGGACCACAAGGGATGCCGGCTTACATGAGAGGCCAGTTGCTGCACCAGTACCCAGCGACATGGCATGACAGCCCACTCCATCATTGCGTGCATACCCTTGGTGCATACCATGTCCCAGCACCCCGCCCACCACCTGCTGGTGCTGGTGAACTCCCCTGGTCTGCATCCCCTGTCACTTGGCTCCCTAGACGTTCCTTCGACCGAACCCGACCCAAACCATCATCCTGCACCCGTCTCCCATGCCGCTCCATGTCAGGGGCCGCACCCCAGACCCCAGCGGCTCCGGTCGGGATCTTTGTGCCCACTAATCCTCTCCCGTAAGAATTGAAGGTCAGTACTTACACGCAAGGCTTGAAGCTAGTTTGAGGAGGGCTTCGTGGAAAGGACAAAAAGCCTGGATGGAGGCCCCGCCTCCCATTGAATGGTACTGTTCTGATGCCCCGAGCTCACCATGCCGCACCACACAACCCCCAACAACTACCAATGTGCTGGTCCCCACCCTACAGCCTCTTGGAAGTGCTCACCAGCAGCAGCCGGCCGCGAGCCTGTAGGGGAGGAAACACGGAACCCATTGAGAATGCAGCTCGGACAAAGGTCACGACCAGCAGCAGCCGCAGCCCATGCACCCACCGTGCCATGCCCGAGCGAGCACCCCGCCCACCCACCCCAACCTGCCTACAGCTGGTGCACTCTATGGGAGCTCCCCTGGGGCGGGTGTTGGGCGGGTGCTGGGGCCAGGCCCGCCACCCGCCAGCCGCCCCTTGCCGCCTCTTACAGCTCCCAGCATGCACCCAACACGAGTGGGTGCAACCAGCTCACCCCGCAGCCCCCAGCAACGACCCACCCGCCCCACCGCACGACGGCCTCTCTGCTGCCCTTCTGATATAGAGGCCAGCACCCCGGGCAATGGCCTCCACTCCCCAGACAAAGCCCCGCTTCTTTTCTTGTTTCCGTAGCGGGGGGCAGATGAGCCTCGAATTGGCCTCACCCGTCTTAATGCCATAAGTGTTCAGCCAAACCCCAAGCGTTCCCCCTGAGGATCGGTTCCCTTCCCACGAGCGCCAGGCCTAGAGGCCCTGCAATGCAGATGGGGTCTCACCGTCAGCTGCCGTGCTCCCGGGGCCCGGCCCTGCCGCCGCGCCTGCATGACGAGAACGTCACATGTATGCAGGTCAGGATTATTGCACATCAAGCTGTATTCTGAAGAGACAGAGGCGGTGGTTGCGCAATCGGGGATTCAATCACAACATGCCGGCATGCTTCACATGGGGCTGGTGCGCTCTGAACTCAGAACTACAAATGTGCCGTTGCTCACCCTACAGCCTCTTGAAATGATCCCAGCAGCAGTGCTGTTCACGTGCTCAAACACTTCCGTACTACACCGCCGCGGGACACTAGAGCCGGAGTCTTAGGTCAGGTCAAGCCTGGGCTAGCACAACCAACTCACCGGCTCAGGCCAGCCGCCAAGGCTGCAGGACATGGGAGCAGTCGGGGGACCCATGTGACGAGTTGTTTCAAGTTTCAGGCACGAGAACCCTCCCACTCACCCAGCAACACAGAGCCTCCCGACACTTCAAGCCTTCTCAGCTCCCAGTGCATGACCTACTTTTACAGATAAGCACATCCACGAGCTTCAGCTGTTTGGCCTCTGTGCTACCGCGAATTAGCACACGTTCCAGATTCGTGGCCTTGCTCCATGCTTCTGCGGCGGCCAGCTGCCACACCTCGTCCTTATTAAATGCTTCTGAAAGATGTACAATCAGCTTGGCATCCTGGGCCTCCTGGTCCATGGCTTGCGCGCCTTGCGCCTTGCGCGCTAGGAGACACTGTAAAGTAGTGCTTTCGCAACCGATGCAAGGGCTGCTGAGCTCTGAGGTCCAGCTACTGTTTACGATCTATAGTTGTGAGCCTCATTTCTGCTGACCGCTCGTTCGTGCGTTGTGGTGTTGGGATGCGAGAGTGCTGAAGCACAACAAGGTCTGAAGGACGGCTACACGCTGTATGCTGAGGCAGGGTTTACGTTTGACCGAAGTTTAAGAGAGGTCAAGTTCTTGGGCTCAGTCCAAGAATGTGCAAATGTCGCCCGCGATGGGGACGGCGTCAGTCCCAAAAAAATTGCGGATTTCTGAACTAAGCGACCTCAAACGGTCATTGCTTCCGCTAATCCTTCCACAATGTCTGCAAAAATCTCCAACGGCGTGGACAGCGACTGCAGCGGCAGGAGCAACCGTAATGGCGGGAAGTCCACCCGCACCCGCGACTTGGAGGTAACACGCCTCAAAACGGCGAGGCATGCTTATAATCGTGAGGTTCAAATGTTCAACCTCGCGCGCAAGGCGCATCCCGATTATAAGTTGCCCGCCGAATTGAAGTTGCTAGTCAATCGCGCGCTGCGGGACAAGACCGCCGATCTTTACTGGTGTGCATTTAAAGAGCTAAAAGCTCACCGCATTTCGCTTCCTAAATTGCCGCAGAATGGCCGGAACCTCCTCGGCGAGCTCGAGGGCGCTGCGGAGATGCAGACAAAGGGCGCCCCAAGCGGCAAGACGGTCCCCAATCAGGGTAAGAACCGTAAGCGTCCAAGGGACAGCACCAGCGGCGACTCGCCCACTTTGACGGGCAGTCCGCCCCCACCATCCCATCATGTTTCTGGCAGCTAACTGGAGCGGGGG